TGGCCTCTGTGCGCCTGAGTGTCAAATTTATTCTCCTGTTGGAAGCCGACACTCAGGTATTCTCCTGTTGGGAGTCTTGTTTAGTTTTTAATTTTTTTCGGTGTTGGTAGTTGGTGTAGTTTGTGAGCTTTGTTATTCTAGCGTTGCTAGGTCAGGCTTTAGGCGATTTTTGGATCTGCCTTTCAGTTTTTTCAGTCTTTGGTTGTACTATTAAGCCTTTGACTACTTTCTCTTCGCAAGTTGTGCGATTTTATTAATATAGTATCTCTATCGTTTTGGAAAAAAAAAAAAAAAAGTCTAGAAACGGTTTACAATATAGCTTCTCCGTGCAAAATAATGGAAGGAAAACGGTCAAGGTTATCAAGTAAAATTTGGTTCCCAGCAAATTTTTAATTATTATTATTTTTTTAATAGTTTACACAACCCTTGAACATAGATAACGGGTATTTAATAAAAGAACATACAGAAATGAGCACAATCTGTAGATAGAAAACAAATGTTTATGCTACAAACAACAGAGATTAATTCATAATGCCCCCAAATTCTACGATCATATGTTGTTTGGCGCTGATGATTGAGTTCGACCCTTAAGAAAGTGCCACGGTCCTGTTCCTGTTCCCATCCTGTAAAATGAAAATTTTATAATATATAGCAGGTTATAATCTTATATAAAGATTAATTACAAAATAAATAAATATATATAAGTATTTATGGCTTATCAAGTTAATGATTTATTTAATTATAATTAGAGGAAAATACTCTCGTTGACTGAATTGTTCCCTCAGTAATTTCTACCGTAGATATACATGTAGAATATTTTTGTGTAGATAATCTACAGTAGGTTTCTACTTACGGAATCATTCCGTCAACAAGACTGTTAGAATGAAGGAAAAAAAAAAACATTAGAATACCTCCAGAAACCAGCAAATGTTCTTAAGGTCATGTAAATGGTCAAAGCAAGCCATATACCAACAAAACCATTACTTTTAGACAGCACAAACAAGGATCCAATGCTTACAATGGACACAAGAACCTGAAAATTTGGGAGCATAAATCAATAATCAAATTGCAATAATGAATGATATATCAGAAAAAAAGGCATATATATAAGGCCAAATAAATTACCATGGAATATGCAGAATATGCAAAGTCAGATGCTCCAAAATTTACACCATCAAACACAAATGCCAAGGAGTTTATAGGTTGTGTAGCTGCAACAAACTGAAGAAAACAAGAAATGCAGTTAGATAAGGCACTTCAATGTTGAATGGTGTCGATTTTTAGATTTATAATTCGCATTTTACCGGGATTCCTATTGCGATCATTCGAATAACATTTTGGTTCTTGGTAAATATTCCTGATCCAAACTGAAGTCCGAGCCCCACAAATACGGCAAGACCGAGTCCTAGCACGAATCCCATCTGCAAAATACAGTCAATAAATGCAAATCGAGATTACACTATCTATTTGGACCAATATTCACCACTGTCCTAGCTTTATTTATGTAATACTTGATACTAAATTTCTGATAACAAATAGAGGTATGTTCAAACTTTACTCTGTATTGGGGTCGTGATGCAATATGGATATAAAATAAGTACCTGAAGCACCCGAACGGCAGCAGCCGTAGCTTTCTGATAGTCTTTCTCGGCGAAAGCACAAGCAAGAATTGCCTACAAAGTCATCATTTATTTATGGAGAATTTTGTGAAAATTAATTTCAGCCTTTTTGTTGATATATATATATATATAGTTCCTGTTTTTTCTTTGTTTCTTTCTTTTTTTTTGTACCTGTCCTGCAACTGCCAAACCATCAGCAAGTAAGGATGATGTCATCCACACCTGTAGACATATCTGAAAGGCAGCCATTGGAGTTGCTCCGAGCCTTGCAGCCATTGAGGCTGCCAAAGTCACACAAATCGTCACCGCTATAACTCTTGCTAGCAAAAGGAGACCTGAATTTCAAACATGTGACAGAGTTGACTACCAGGCTAAAAAAAACGACGGGTTTTGAACGAAAAAAATTACTAGTTACCATTCTTGAGAAATTTGCCCAACTGCAAGTCTTTTAAACTTGGAGGAAGCAGATGGACTTGTTTCATTAATTTGACCACAAGAATCAGACTGATCAAGTACCTGACCAAAAAAAGAAAAAAAGTCATATTGTTATATGAAAACAGACTAAGATTTTGGAGGGAAAATTAAATTGTAACATACTGTGAAAGGACATGCGCAATGGCTGCACCACTCACACCCCATCGGCAAACAAATATGAAAATCGGGTCCAAAATTATATTTGTCAAATCTCCCGCAACTGTAAAAAGTTCACAGAAAACGGGAAATCAGCTTAAATAATAATCTTTGCTTTTTAATTTTTAGGCAATGAAGAAAACATAGAAAGGAGACTTTTTTTGTTACCAGTGGCATAGAGAGGAGTTTTAGTATCCTTAAAGCCTCGAAAAACGCCTTGCATTGCCAAGGAAAGAAGAACAGCTGGAGCCCCGAATGATCTTATTGTTAGATACTTTTGTGCAGGGGCTAACATTGGAGATCTCTATCAAGCAAGGTTACTTATCACATTTCGCAAGATATATAAATCATTTTACAACTGAAGTAACTTAATTAATGCTTACGGATTTGATGCCCATGACACCTAGCAAAGGTTTGGCGAGGAGTATAAGGAACAATGTTTGAAGTAGGCCAAGAACAGCACCAAGAAGAAGTGCGGTTGATGCAGAAGGAATATGACGACGCTCGTTTTTCGTCTTATATTGAGAAGCATCTAGAGGCTCACATGTGGGCTTCTTTTGTTCTGATAAAAATATTTTATGATAAGGCATTCAAAGAAAAAGAAAATGACATCAAAGGAGCCTCGAATTGCAAATATGCCTACCATTTTCTTGAGCTTCTTGTTTTGCACGCGAGTCCTCGTTCGTGGAGTGATCATCTTCTAAAATGGCAGATTTTGATTTTTCGTTTTTATTTGACCCTTTTTCCGAGTCATCATTTTTCGAATTCAGACTGTTGATCTTGATTCTCTCAATGGTGTCTTCCTCGGCCACAAATGAGGTGGTGATGCTAACGAGTGGGAAAATGGTGACTTTGGAGGCCTGATTCAATATAGCTATCGATACTCCCACGGCAGCAATTTCTACCGGACCTGTTTTCAGCAAAGCCCAGAAATTTGTTTGGATAGGGTTATGTTAGTACAGAAAACGGAAAAATAAAAATTATCATCAAGAAAAAACAAAGCTAGCTATTGAGTACATAATATAAGTTTGACATAATATGTACCCAAGTGGCCGATAAATGCAGTGTCGATCAAAGACGCAATAGGGTCGGCAGCCAACGCCAGGGCCGCTGGGAATGCAATCCGCAGTATTTCGATCCCTAGCTCGTCCCGTTTGAATACATTGCTAAATCCAGGACATGAAAAAGAAAACACACACATAATATTGCTAAATACTGTCCTTTTTTGAAATAAAGGAACATAATGCTACTACATGCATGTGAGGCTTAATATCTATCACATACCTAGCATCTCTGAAGAAAACAAATATTGGGATCTTCCATTTTCGGGAACTTGACGATATCACTTCAGCACTCTCGGCCATAATATCGCGAGACGACTCGAACGACTTGGGATGTGTTAGATTGATATATTCAACTGTGTAATTCAAAATGATATATAAAGAAGTGAATGAACAATGTATTGGTTTAAATTGCATTTATATCAACCAAAGTGCAGGAAATCAAGAAGATAAGAAAAAAAAAAGTAAGAAAAAGTTCCTTATAAACATGCAGATTTTATTCTGTTCCACCAGAAAATATGGAAAAAAAGTATGAAACTGAAGGGATCTTTCTTCAGTAATTTCAATTTTTTTTTTTTATTTTTTTTGGTAATATATGGACAAGTTTTTTCAGTGCTTTACATGCAGAGGAATTGTTTGTTTACATTATTTTTCTTTTTACTAAAGAAACAGAGGTATTATTACTTAGATTATATATTCCCAGTCAGAAAATATGTTTTATGAACTCATGAGAAATTACCAAAATGTATGGTACAAATTTCTGTGATATTGGATGAATATAAGAGGAAAAATATAATAATTAAAATTGACGTGATTGAAAAATAGGTAAATAATGATTAAAAATGACAAGTAGTTAGAAATATTTGAGTTGTTGAACATTAAATTTTATGAAAAAAAAAAAAATTAAAGTAATGGTTAGTTCTTATTTTCAGTTTTTATACTCGAGTTGAGTATATGTGAGAATGAAAGAAAAGGGTATATTTTTAGTGAAAAATTGTACCAAATTACTTTTAGTTAATTAACAAAATTGACCCATGAAAGGAACATGGATATGTTAATTGATTTAATATTGATATATGCTTGCCTGTAGTAATTATATTTACACAATATATGGAATTTTATTTTATTTTTTATACTTTGATAAAGTATGTTAGTAATTATATTTACACAATATATGGAATTTTATTTTATTTTTTTGTACTTTGATAAAGTATGTTAGTGGAAATGTTTTTTTTTTCCTTTTCCAAAAGATGATGTTTTCACATAGATTAATTAATGACTATAACATACTTAAATATTAGTGTATATATACATACAAGAGAATACTACAGTCTTGTTACGGGATGGTTCCGTTGTTTCTTTTAGTTGTAGTGTACATCAGTGATGTTTAGATAATGTACGCTTAACGAGATTGTAGCCTTCCTCTATATATATATATATATGAGTAAACGAATAATAATACTCATATATAAGTGAAACAGAATTGCAAAATAAAGAGTTCTAAGAAGTTTTAGAAAGTAACTAAATAGTACTGACCTCTAACTTGAACAGTTGTATTATATACCCCAGCAAATATGTTTGGAACTTTACTTTTGCTCGCATATATGTAATGAAAGTTAATTTGAGCTGCCAAAGCAATGAACTCCACCACTATAAATACCATTTTCTTCATGACGTCACCAATTGCCTCGTCCAATCAATTCTAAAGGCACTCGTCACCAAAGCAAAATGCATATAAAGGAAAAATTTTTAATTTATGGCCCGACTGTTTATTTATTATTGGATTTACACAACTTTATATGTAATTGCATTACAGTCAGTGGTCAGGTTGAACCAGTGCTACTGCCGTGCGTCTTGGCACACATAACAAAGTGTGACAAGACAATTTAAAATGAACATGTTACATAATAAAATGAACATGCGTAAACATATTTATATATGTTCATTTTATAATGTAACATGTTCATTTTAAAAATGTCTTGGCACACCTTGCTAGGTGTGCTAGAGCGCACCTAAGTATTTGCGGGTTGAACCATCCAAGAGAGACATCACATATCTAATAACTTATAAATGAGTCATAAATGAGTAAAACATTAATATCAAATACAAAAATCGAAGTATTGTAGTTTTACTTTATATAGTTATTTAAAGCTTGCTAGGTGTGCCAGAGCGCATTTAAGTATTTGCGGGTTGAACCATCAAAGAGAGACATCACATATCTAATAACTTATAAATGAGTCATAAATGAGTAAAACATTAATATCAAATACAAAAATCGAAATATTGTAGTCTTACTTTATATAGTTATTTAAAGTGTAAGAAACTGGGGAAAAAACGAGTGCAGCCCACTAACATGAAGCGTACCAAAGCAGGGAAAGCTCATATGAAGCCTAAATGGGGTTCCATCCCAAAACCAATTAGTGGAAGGAGGAGTAGCCCATTTAGATTTATAAGGTGGGTCTATTTTCTATGTATGAACGATGCGGGACAACTCACAAGTGATATTCTAACATAAAGTATTTTCAGTAAGTTAATATTCTAATAGTATAATTAATTGCTAATGCTGTATGTTATTTGATTTAATATTAATGTTATGCAACTTAATCAAATTTACAATAATGTGAACAATTCAATTAACATGTGCAAATATAAAATTTAGCAATTTTATAATGTTATGCGACTTGCTCGCAGACGCTTTTGTGTTTCCCTGTATGTGGGCGGTCACCGAGCATCGTCAATTGTAGGTGCTGCGAGTTGCTCACCTCCACGTCTACGAGAAACTCACACGTCGCTCTGTGCGCCTCGCCAGCCCGCGCATCACCGCTGCTCACAGTTTGTCGCCGTTCCGTCTTCGACGATTGTTGAGCAACGCCAGACTCAACGTCTGTAAGGAACGTCACGCTCAACCGTCTGCAAACAAGTCGCACGGCCTCGCAGCTCCCCACGCCAGCCCCCTCGCTCATAGTCGATGGTACGCCTCGCTCCACTGCCATCATCAAAGGCTGGACCAGCTCGCAGTCGTCATGCTCCTGTGCGCGCGACGCCGCACACTGGTCGCCGGTCACTGGGAGATTGGGCCGCTGATGTTAAAGTATTGATATCCGACTTGGATCCCTTAATCAAAAGTTATCGAATTGGACAAAAGGATTAGTGGAAATAGCCGACTTGGGAAAGAGTATGAAAGACAAAGTGTTTTGACCTCGTTGACGGGGTGAGTCTCGACTTCAGTGAAGAGACATGAGACCGATTTCTGATTGAAGCCAAGGTCGATCCTACATTGACAAGACGTCTGTCAATGAGCCATCAATCGCACGTGCCCTGATCGTTATGTACGGGTATGACTACATAATAACTATCCCTATGAGGTCATTTCACATTTAATGCCGCCGGATCTACCTAAAAAGATGAGACAAAGAATACTATATTAGCCGCATTGACTTCAATACGAGGATCTCCTAACGACACATTAAATACACTCATTTGCTATCTTGGTTCAACAATAATCAACTTCTTGTACTGTAAAACCGACTTGAAATTAAGAAAAACTCAACTCATTCACACTTTTTTTACAACTTAATCTCAATCAATATCATTGTTAAATTTCGT